TTGTTTGTCTTCTATCTTGTGTACGTCTTTTTTTAGCGCTTTTAACCATGGTTCAATACAGTCAACACCAGTTAGCCCAGCAAGATGTTATTTTTAAGTGGACAGTCTTCGATCAGCCTGGGAGGTGTTGGCTATGCTCGGATTTAAGGTGCAACGAGTCGCATTATAGCGGTATTTACTGTGATATTTCCAAGAAATATCATAATTAAAAGACCGAACACGAAGTGATGTATGGCTGGCTATCAGCCTCGGCTCGGACTGCCCGAGTGAAGTCGTCGTCGTCTTTATTCACACCGTTCTCCACACCTCGATACATAACACACCTTCACCCCTGGCTCGCCATGGCTCATAGCGCAACACCGGCTCCTTGACTCTCGTGGATCTTCTCACTTTTGAGCTCACTTCGACGTTAGAACTGGTCGATCCGATAAGGGAAGCTTCCCTTTGGCTAGGGCTGGCCAATGGAGCCTGAAGCTCGGGTGCGGAACGTTTCGGGGGTGCTGACACCGCAGATACAGGCGGTGGCACCGGAGGTACAGACGACGCTGTTGGATTTCTCGGGGATGTCGGCGCAGAAGGTCCGGGTAATGTAACGTCCAATAATGGCAAATCTGGCAACTGGTTACCAAATGTCCCTTGTTCCGAAGCGGGACAAACTCTCTGTCGCAGGTGGTCATCGTGGCGATGCCAACATGTGCCGTCATCCAGAACAATCTATGATGATGATGCGCTTGCTGGGTGCACTGCGGACGCGGGGATCCAGTCAGGCCCTTGTCGAAAGTTCTTTGCCCAAACGCTGTCACCCGGTTGTAGCAGTGGCTGTCGTCTAGCTCCATGATCACAACGTTGCTTCTGTTTTAGTTGTTTTAGTACGACCTTAAAACGGAAATCAGGATGGAGCAAGTCCATTGCAGTTTTAGGTTTCCATCCCATGAGGACCTCCGCAGGTGTTAGTCCAGTGATACCGTGAGGTGTTTTGCGGTACCGCAAAAGGGCTCGTGAACTCTTTGTCTGAAAATCTCCCGAAGAAGCTTTCTTGAGTTTGTTCTTGATTGTTTGAACGGCTCTCTCCGCAGCCCCATTAGATGCCGGGTGATATGGGGTGATCCTCATACTACGAATTCCGTTCCTCTTCAGGAATTCTGCAAATACAGAACTTGTGAAGGCTGGTCCGTTGTCATTCACGATCAGGTCAGGCAATCCGTGCGTGGCAATTATTGATCGAAGACAATTCACCGTTGCCTCCGCCGAAGGTGAGGAAACGACCATCACCTCGAGCCACTTGGAATAAGCATCTACGAGGATTAAGAAATATCGTCCTTGAAATGGTCCCCCGAAATCTTTATGAAGGCGTGACCAAGCTTTTTTGGGAAAGGGCCAAGGTGTCATTGGCACTGGTTGTGGTGTTCGCTGGCGTTCCTGACACGCAGAAGAGCTGTTGACCTTGACCTTAATGTCTTCTTCAATGCCATACCACCAAACGTGACTTCTTGTCACCGTCTTCATTTTGGTGATTCCTGGGTGTCCCTCATGCAGGAAATCCAGCACACTTCCTGTTAGAATTTTCGGAACTACTACTCTCGTACCCCATAGCACGCAATTGTCTTGCACGCTGAGCTCCTGCGTTTTTGTAGCGTAGGGTTGCCACTCTGGTGTAGCGGGAAAAGTTGAACCGTAGCACCTCACGTATTTTCGACAACACCAGATCTCGTTCCGTAGCTGTCGCAATAACTTATGGGAAGAGAATTTTGTAGTCACGTTCCAACATGAAAACATCTGCGGGCTTTGGCACTATGAATTTCTTAGTCACCAGTGGTAGGCGACTCAGCGCATCAGCATGACCAAGAGTTTTTCCAGGACGATATACCAAGGCGTAGCTGTAGCTAGCTAGTTTCAAGGCTCACCTTTGGATTCTTGGTGAACGCTGTGGGGGAATGCCTTTGTCAGCGCCTAATAGTCTCAGCCGGGGCTTGTGGTCAGTGACTGCCTCAAAAGGTCGACCACAGAAATATTGGTGAAATTTTGTTATTTCAAACATGAGTGCAAGAGCCTCTTCACTTCACTTCACTTTATTTCCTTAAAGACCCCTTCGGGAGGGGTATTACATAAGGGGTGGGAGAATATAAGAACACAATAACTTGAACAATAGGTTGCTACGCTGGATTGATGGTTGACACAGCTTCAGCAAACCTTAATGGGCAGGTGATCGTAGCAACATCGCCGGGAAGGCCGTTCCAGTCTGTTGCAGTACGGGGGAAGAAGGAATTGAAAAAAGTGGCAGTTCGAGTGCGGTGACGGGTGACCTGCAATGGGTGACCTGTTCGGAGAGAGATGCGGGCGTGGGGTACATTGTAGGGCGCGTGATGGAGCGGAGAATAGAAAAACTTGTGAAATAGACATAAGCTAGCAGTTTGGCGACGAGAGGAGAGGTCTAAAAGGCCCGATTCAGCTTTTAAGGATGAGATACTAACTTTGTACGAGTAAGATGAGTGGATGAATCTGGTGGCGCGGTTCTGAACCTGTTCGAGTGCATAACTGAGATAGGCTTGGTGCGGGCTCCAGATGGGGGATGCGTATTCCAGCTTTGACCTTACGAGTGATTTGTATGCTAGCAGTTTTATGCTTTGAGGAGCGGTACGTAGATGGCGTTTTAGAAATCCTAAACTTTTATTTGCTGATGAGATAATGTTAGTGAGATGTGCGCGCCATGATAGGTCGCTACCTAAGGTGACACCAAGATATTTATAGGACTGTGCTATTTCGACGGGAGTGTTAGCAATTGAATAGGGGAAAAGGAAAGGGTTGGTTCGGCGATGAAAGGACATGAGTTTGCATTTATTAGGATTAAGTGACATGAGCCAGTGGTCGCACCATTTCTGGATGCGGTTGAAGGTTTCCTGTAGATTGATTTGGTCAGAAATGTTAGTAACTGGTTGGTAAATAACGCAGTCATCGGCAAACATACGGATTTGGCAAGTAACGTGTAAGGGTAAATCGTTAATATATATGAGGAATTGCAGTGGGCCCAAGACGGAGCCCTGGGGGACACCTGATGATACTGGTAGGCAGTTGGAGGACTGGTTATTAACGAGGACGGACTGAGAGCGATTTGTCAAACATTCCTGTATCCATTTCAAGACGTCAGGGTCTAATCATAGCCGAGAAAGTTTTAGTAGCAAGCGTCTATGAGGTACTTTGTCGAAGGGTTTTGCAAAGTCCAAGAAGATAGCGTCAGTTTGGCAGTTAGAGTCGAGATAGATATGCAAGTCGTGGAGAAAGAGAGCTAGTTGAGTTTCGCAGGAGAAGTTCCTGCGAAACTCGTGCTGAGAAGAGAGAAATAATTGGTTAGAGTCCAGGAAGTTCATAACGTGGGTATAAATGACGTGTTCCATGATTTTGCAGGGTACGCTTGTTAAGGAAATGGGTCAATAATTTAATGGAGAGTCCTTGTTGCCTGATTTTAAAACGGGAACCACCTTCCCCGAATTCCAGTCATCTGGAATGCCGCCTGTGAAAAGTGACTGCGAGAACATAAGTGAGAAAAATGATGAACATACATGGTTACAGTTCTTCAAAAATTTCAGGTGATTTCGTCGGCGCGCCCGCTGATGATGACAACTTGATGTTATCAATAATAGACGAAATACCGGCAGTGGAAAATGAGATGGGGTGCATTTCCAATTCGATAGTTACGATTACGGGTGGGAGTGGGGCGTCGGGCTCTTGAGTAAAGACTGATGAGAACGCGATATTAAACATGTTAGCGCACTCACTATCGCTAAGCACATTCCTTGATTCATCGGCAAGAGTTAAACCGGGAGTCTGCTGAGGGTTTATGACCTGCCAGAACTTTCTTAGGTTATTGATTAATATGTTTGGTAAGTCAATAAGGAAAAATGAGCGCTTGGCTTCAATGATCGCGTTTAAATATGTTGCTTCGGCCTCGTAGTACCTTTCCCACGCGCATGGGTTTGGTTTTGACTTCGCAGAGCGAAAAAGACGCTTTTTTTATTTTCCAGCCTCTTAAGGGTTTTAGTGAACCATGGCTTCTGTCGGCTAACACGAAAACTGATCTCAGGAATAAATGTATTTATTAATTCGTTAAACTTGTTCTTGAGTAGTACCCGATTTTCATGGATGGATCGACTTTGATAAGCAGCCTCAAAGTCAGTAAAAAAATTGGTTAAGTGGTTATTTTTCGCTTCATAATTTCCTTTGTTGTAGAGGCGAATTGTTTTATTTTGAGTAGGGGGACACGTCGGCGAAGACATAAAATCAGCGTGAATGACCTTATGGTCACTAATTTCCCGTAGGTAAGTAATTGACGACATACTGTCAGGACGGTTGGTTAATATTAGGTCCAAGAGACTTGCAGTCTCTTGCGTGACACGTGTTGGCTCAGTTAATATTTGGGACAGGTTAAAATTGAGGCAAACATCGATAAATTATCTCGTTTCTGCGTTGCTCGTTGTTGTAGGTGCCAGGTTAGCCCAATCGACATATGAGTAATTAAAGTCGCCAAAAAGAAGTATGTGGGCATTGCGATGTTTTGCATTGAGGTGGCACAGCATATCGTTAAGCTGCCCCGGAAAATCGGGACTATTATGCGGCGGCCTGTAACAGACACCCAACAGCACTGTTTCAGGAGCGGCATGACAGATGAGCCAGAGTATTTCCAGATCGGATGAAGTGTTAATAGTAGTGCATGGTATTTGATGGTTTACGGCAATGAGAACACCTCCCCCGCGAGTACCTTTGCGATTATTACGAAGGAGACGGAAATTTGGCAGGTACGCTAAAACTTCGGAGTCAGTAACATCACTGGTTAGCCAAGTTTCAGTGAGCACAAGTACATTGCATTCAGAAGATAATACAACGCCAGATAAGAGTTCGCGCTTCGGAAGAAAGCTGCGTATGTTAGTAAAGATCACCGAAAAAGAAAGATTAGTTCGAGGGGCACGTTGGGGGCGTTTTGTAATTTTCCGTTGACGGTGCGATTGCTACGAGATTTCTTTGACTGATTGGCATGATTCATCGAAAACGTGACGTTTTGAGCCGATGAGCAGTGTTTTGCAGCGCAAAGAAAAGGGAGCAGATTTGCTTCTAGCAAAGGCAAGGAGGTGTTTCCGTGCGTTGCGAACTGAGCGGGAAAAATCTTCGCCCATGCTGAAGTTAGTACCTTTTAGTTTACGGCCATTTGAAAGGATGGCTTCTTTAGTTTTGAAAAAGGAGAAGTTCACTATTATTGGTCGTGGACGCTCGACCGAATAACGCCCGAGGCGGTGGGCACGTTCTATTTTTTTCGAGTCTAATGTTACATCAAAAAGTTCAGAGCAAAGGCGAATGATTCTTTGTGTGGACTGGGCAAAAGTCTCTGTAGGTGAGGGATCGGGCACACCATAAAATATTAGATTCTTTCGTCGGGATCGATTTTCAGTGTCGTCCACCCGGGCCTCAAGGTCAGAGACCTGACGAGCCGCGTGGACGGCCCTGGTCACCGTGGCCTCCACCTCAGCACGTAGCGTGGAAAGGACTCGGTAATGACCCTCCAGGTCAGTCATCCGCCTGCCTAGGTCCGATATAGTCCTATCGGTTGTCTGCAGCTGACTTTTTAGGCCCTTTACCTCCTCGATGAGTTTAGTTTGACCTGCAGACAGCTTCTGCAATTCGCTTAGGATTTCACTTGAGGTAACAGGACCCGGATTAGTCTCTACATCTTCAGACAACATCAGTAAGCGGCGGATGACTTGAGCACATTTTCTAGCAACGGCAATGCAACACTGCAGGCTCGGCAGCTGTACTAAAAGATAGTTGCTCGATTTCTTAGACGAGGTACCGTATGACATGCTAACCTGCATGGTGTAGGACAGCGGGTTAATGGACCGTGCTGTGGCACAGCCACCGAGCCCACTGAGTGCAGTCGCCGGATGTTGTTCTTTTATGACTGGCGCATCTGTTGACGTCGATGACGATGGTGCTTCCCACGATGAACTGGGGATCCACGGATCAGATGACAGCGCCACAAGGTTTAGCGGCGCGTTTGCTGTTGATGACTGCCAATCTCTCGAGCCGTGCGCGTGGCGAAGGGGCGTACTTTCCGTGGCGATAATCCAGGTATCATTCAGGAAGGCTGGAACCATGACGAGGGTGATGAACGAGGTAAGGACCTGCATGGTGTAGGACAGCGGGTTAATGGACCGTGTTGTGGCACAGCCACCGAGCCCACCACCGAGCCTCTTTGTCCAAGTGGCTGTAGTTCTGTTCTGCTGCCATCAGACGACGTGATGCGAACGCAATAGGCTTCTCCTCGCCCATGGAACTCCTCTGCGCCAGTACAGCCCCAATTCCGTTGGGTGAAGCGTCGCAGCTTAGCACAAGGTGCTTCGTGGTGTCGTAATGTGCAAGGACACCAGCAGAAGTTACCAGCTCTTTGCTTCGCTCGAACGCGCATTCTTGCTCTCCTGACCACTCCCAGCGTGCTCCTTTTTCCAGCAGCCGATGTAACGGCTCCAGGACACTTGGCAAATTGGGTAGAAATCTTCTGTAAAAATTTAGCAGGCCCAAAAAACTTTGTAGTTGCTTTGTGTCTTGTGGAGTTGGTGCCTTTACAATTGCATCCACTTTACTTGGCAAAGGGTGAAGACTTGTGTGGTCGATGTGGTGTCCCAAATACTCCACCTTTGATGCAAAAAACTCGCGCTTTTCAAACTGCAGCTTCAATCCTGCATTTGTTAGCCGCTGAAGTACTTTTTCAATATTTCTCATGTGGTCCGAGTCATCCACTTCAGCTACTAAGATGTCATCAAAGTAGACGACAACGTGCCTGAGGTCACAAAGCAGGTTTTCTATTTCTCGCAGGGAAATTGCTGGCGCTGATGAAACACCAAAAGGTAGCCTTGTGTTCTCAAACAATCCTTTGTGGGTATAGATAGTGACGTACTTTCTTGAGGACGGAGAGAGTGCCACCTGCTGGTAAGCGTCATTGAGGTCCAACTTGGAGAACTTGATGCCTCCGAAGAGCTTTGTCCAGAGCTCTTCGACTCTCGGTATTGGGTACGTATCCACCTGGGCTGCTGCGTTTATGGTGAGCTTAAAGTCTCCACAGATTCGCACCCGACCATCTCTTTTTAATACCGGGACAATCGGTGCTGCCCAGTCAGAAGTCCTGACTTGCTTCAAAATTCCTTCCTGTTCTAGTCGTTGAAGCTCTTGAGTGACCAGATCTTGCAATGAAAAGGGGACTGGTCGTGGCTTGAAGAATCGGGGTCTTGATCCATCTGGCACGCAAATCTTGGCTTCCACGTTCTTAGCCGACCCAGCCCACCAGAAAACACATATGGAAATTCGCTAAAGAGACCCTCTGTTGATGTATTATGTAGATTTACGACGTCAGCAACAGGTAGACCCAGAGCTTGTATCCAGTTTCGTCCCAGCAGAGTTGGGGAAGTTCCGCCAACGACGAACAGAGGAAGAACTTCTTGATCCTTGTACTTCACCAGGATCTCGGCGCAACATTGAACCGGTGTCAACTCTCCTGAGTACCCTCTAAGAACGACATTGGAGAGGACAAACCTTCACATCCGGAAACAATTCTCGTAAACGTCTCTCTTCCATTACGGAGCACGCCTGCCCCAGTGTCGAGTTTCATGTCAACTGGTTTGCCTTGAATAATGACAGTTATAATAATTGGAGGAACCTGAGATGCTTTCAGTTGCCACATATTGTACGTTGGGGGATCATCGTCACTGTCCTGATCGTTGGTGTCGTCGAGGCTGTGAACTGGAACCGCCGATGGCGCCTTTTTCGACCGTCGTCCTGGCGAGTTCTGATAGTCTCGCGCAGCTTTCCCATCTTTCTTGACGCTGCTTGACTCGTCATGCGATCTTGCTGTGCAGACCGCTGAGAGGTGGCCAACCTTTTTGCAGTTGTGGCATGTCATATTAGCATAACGACATGCTGCTGAGCCGTGTGACTTTCCGCAGTGACAACATCCAGACTATCTAGACGACTGCTCTGATAGGCGGTTGGTTTCGACAGCTGAAGTCGTCCCAGCCCAGCACGCGATTGCTTGGGAATCTTTCCCCGCGGCTTCCATGGCTACGACGACTTTGACAGCTTTCTCAAAAGTCAGTTCTGCATCTTCCAAAAGTCGGGTGAGCATAAGGTCGTTATTGATGCCGCAGACTAGCTGATCTCGAAGCATGTCGTTGAGCACCGTCTTGAAGTCGCAAGCGTCCGCCAACTTCCGCAGCGATGCAATAAAGTCGCTCACGGTTTCTCCTTGTTTAAGAGCCCTTGTGTGGAACTTCAGACGCTCTACAATTACGGAAGGCTTGGGGGCGTAATGCCCGTTCAGTGTCGTGATAATGTCGTCATAGGCAACATCCCGAGGTCTTTCTGGAGCCAGAAGATTTCTGAGAAGCGAATATGTTCGTGTGCCACAGTTTGACAAAAATACTGCGCGCTTCTTTTTTTCTGTTATGTCATTTGCAATAAAATATTGCTCGAGTACTTCCTCATACTCCTCCCATTCATTCTTGCTTTCTCCGAGAAAGGGTTCGAGCTTTGGCATCGTAATCGGAGAAAATCAAGAAAGACTTGCCTTGCCAAGAAATCTGGTGCCTCTCCGTCCTTCTTTGTGGCTTTGCACGCGTAGTTTGTTTAGTTTTGCTCGTCGCCAATGTGATATTTCCAAGAAATATCATAATTAAGAAACCGAACGCGAAGTGATGTATGGCTGACTATCAGCCTCAGATCGGACCGCCCGAGCGCCGTCATCGTCGTCTTTATTCACACGGTTCTCCGCACCTCGATGCATAACACGAGCCCCACCCCTGCCCGTTTCGATCTGGATGAGCATCGTACCGGCGTGCGGTCGTGTATCACTACTGCGTGATGCACGTTAAAGACCCCAGGCTAGCGGCTGTACCGCACTGGCTAAATTTCTCATCTACAGCTGGGAGACTCGTCGCCCCTGTGAGGCAGACCAAGTTCTAGGCTGTATAAACACACACACAACCCAATTTTTTTTCTATGCATAACATTTACGGTGCTCCGTTCGCATTTACTGACCCTGGATCTATGACCTTTGATTCGTACTATCGGGGCAAAATGAAATGCGAACAGGGGAGCGCGTGGCTCGCGGTACAGGCTGCGCCGCCTGGAAGTGAACCTAGGGGCCAGGGTGCGTGACCTACTTCGATGTGTTCACGCCCCTCGATTGGCGCTCCCCCAGCTTCGGCAGTGCGCCTCTCAGTGCGCTGAAAGCTGTCACCGCTATCTTTGCTTGCTCAGCGAGTGCGGCGAGCTTCTTTGCAGCGCACGCGCTGAGCCAGCAAAGATAGCGGTGATAGCTTTCAGCGCCGTAAGAGGCGCACTGCTGAAGCTTGGGGAGCGCAGAGGGAAGGGCGTGAACACGTCGGAGTAGGCCACGCACCCTCGCTCCTAGGCTCACTTCCAGGCGGCGCAGCCTGTACCGCGAGCCACGCGCTTCTCTGTTCGCTTTTCATTTTTCCCCGATAGTACATTAGTCGGCGAAGCGTAACATCTTAATGTCCCGCGGCAGTCTTTAGGAAACGGGGGAAGGGGGAGGGGAAGGATTACCCTCCCCTGCTCACGGAACGTGTGATATGCGTTCCACATTAGGCCCCACCAGCAGCCGAAACTACAAGCAGATGGGGTCATTCAAGTGTATCGTCATGACACTCGTCGTTTTTGAAATTGTATCGTCATGACGCACGTCGTTTTCGTGCATTTTCAATCACCAGAACTAAATCAATCACGCACAGAAAAAAAAAGGCAGGATCACGCCCCAATTACTTTGCGCGATTGGTTTATCCGGCGATAGCAAAGGTACAAAGACGACGACCGCGACCGCGTGACGATGCACTTTTTACACTGCTTGTCTCCATTGGGTCGTTGACCGGAAGCGAACTTAGAGGGAAACCAGAAATGTCTGAAATGTCCCGCCCTTCTCCAACGCCGTTGTTCTATTTAGTTACATATACGACCTCCAGTGACGACGTCGAAGTGTCTCGTCGTGAAGGGGCTTTTACGATAAGCCGACGATAAATTCTACGCCGCGTCCAATTCGATCCCCTGGCATTTGTCTTCGTAGAGTGGTTCTCGGTACGCGAATGCGAACAACCATGAGACTGGAGCACAAGTATACCACTCGGTCACTGGGAGAGCGAACACTCGCCTCGGCTTCGATGTAAGGCAGCCGCGACAGCAGCCTCTCTCTCGGGTTGAGCGATCGGACGCCCTTGCAGGCGTTGGAGGACATGCGGGCCAGGTGCATGGCCTGGTCCCCGTAGTGGTGCACAAGCTGCTTGCTACGTCCGCTTCGAGGCGGTACTTCTGCAGCAGCTGCATGTACATGTACAGCGTGGGGATCCAGTGGGCGGCGCCCTCGAGCCTCCTGTTCTTGGTGCACGTGCACGGCAGCGCCGACAGCTTGTCGTCGCAGGAGGCAATGACCGCATCAACCGAGCGCTCGGCCAGCAGCCGGTACCATGTCCAAGTGCTGCCCGTGATGCTCACCAGGCCGCTCTGGCTCACCTAGAAAAAAAAAAGTAAAAGCTAATTTTGTTGTTTGTATGTTTAGACAACGGGAACTTGGCCAATCTGTGGGCGTCTGGTGTTTCCATGCAAGGTGATAAATTTAGCCAGTGAAGTACCACTGCTAGCCTGGTGTCTTTGTCGTACATCATGCAGTAGTGATACACGACCGCATGCCGGTACGATGCTCATCCATATCCAAACAGGCAGGGGTAGGGATTGAACCCAGAATATTTGGGTTCTGTAGCGCGAAACTCACCTCAATGATGTGCTTGCGTCCGCTGTCTCTCTCCTGCACCGAGGACACCGACGTCCAGGTGGACAAGGCCTGTAGAAGCCAAGACAAATGCGCGAATTCAAATGCTCTGGTTGGTGACAGTTCTAAGGACCCGGATGAAATTTTTATGGGTGGCGGGGTTGTGCAGTGGGCAATAAATCTAGCAACTCTTATAGAAATAAGCAGTTCACCACTTGGAGCGTGCTGGCCGTGCCCACCATCGCCAAGCCGTCCTCGCATGATTTATGTGGGACTTACTACCGCCATAGTGTAACGACATCTTGCGACACCCACCTCGCAAAGCCTAGCCGACGCCGTGTTGCTGTCCAGCTGCTTGTTCCAGTCGCGTATAGCAGCTTGGTCACCGCTTCTGTCGACGGCAGCGTGTCTAGGTGAGAGTCGAGCCTTTTGTGCAATCCATTGACCAGGGTCTGTCCTCGGTGAGGCATGGCTACCAGCATAGTGTGCTCGGTCGGGGCGCGGACCGCGATGCTCTTGTGACCAAAGTGCCACGGTAGCACCAGGTGCGTGCTGATCACGGGCCAGCTGATGGAATTGGCCGACACAGAGTCGAGCATGCGTACGCTGTCGGCGCCGCTGCCCGTGGCGTTGATGACGCTCATTGCGCGAACGGGCAATATGTCTCCGGTCAAGGCATCCTTGACTAAGGCGCCTTTGACGCGTCCGTTTCGATCCTTCAGGGAGCGGTAGGTTCCGAGGTGATTGACCACCACTGCTCCTCGACGTGCCGCTGTCAGAGCCAGGGCCACGTTCCTAGGAAGCTATCCAAGGAAGATAATACCGACTTCAGCAATTTTAATCTGCAATTTTCGTCGCCCTCCAGCTTGAGGTTGCATGACGAATGACGGGAGGAAGAAACATAGCAGCTATGACGCATTCGGACTCGAGGGATGGTTGTCATGGTTACCGGACAAATTCTGACTGAACAAAAACTCACCCTCTTTTTTTACAGACCCGGACAAATGCTCGTGAACTTTTTTTTTCGGCTACCAGGGACAAAATCTTATCGGGCGAAGTATGGACTTAGCTGAAAGGCTTCTGCCATATTGGGTCCTGACCAGGCTTAGATCACCAAAACCATCGAGTTTCTGCAAAAACGTGCTATTCGTTTCATTTGTTTTCCAGACTATTCGCCCCTTTGCAGTGTCACGAAATTAAAAAAAAAAATATATATATCGTTCCTGGCCGTTGCAAGACTTATGTCGCCAGAAACGTGCGCATCTACCACTGTTTCACAAACTTTATCACCGCAGATTGCTTCACGGTTATTTTTTTCAGGCACCTAAAAAATTGCTTTTGGAAGTCGCACACGTTTACCCAAGCTGCATGAGCTCGTGTCGGGACCCACACAGACCTTTCTTCTGGTAAGCTTTTGTCCGGGTTCATAAAAAAAGCGGTGAGCTTTTGTCCCGTAAGCATTTGTCTAGTGAGCCTTTGTCCGGTAAGCATTTTTCGGGATTCGGTTGTCATACATGGTTCGAAATCTTGTGACCGACTGACTGCCGTCCCGCATGCGAAGAGCCACGAACGAAAACGGCTGAAAACTCCTCAGATGTCGTGGAGACGCAGGAAGGAAGGTATTTTCTCGTCAAGTTTCTCAATATACATGATGCAACTAGGAGGCTCAATATACATAATGCAACTAGGAGCACGTCGCTGGCCCACTGGACGCAGCAATCACTGGGCCGTCGAATCTTTCCGCACAACGGTTGACGAGAACCTTAACTTCCAACTTGTTGCTCCAGACTTGAGCCGCAAAATAAGCTGCCGAGTACGGGCACTCCATTCGTCAATTTTGCTCTAGGAGCCGCCATTTTGGTGCTTACGACTATAACGTGCGCAATTGGCGATAGTTGCAATTTAAAAATGCAAATTCCTAAAGTAAGAAAAAAAAATCAAACGTTTTTTTTTGTTTTGTTTTTTTTTTCGTTGCGGGTAGTTGTAGCCTTTCTGGAGGACGAGACAGCGTTTTCTGCGATGACAGATAAAGCTTCAGAGAACTGGCAACCATGATTTCTAAGCACCAATATGGCTGAAGTGTTGTTACTCTGAAGCGTAGCTTGTTTCATGCCAGACATGTG